TGTACACACCTACATGAGGTTGCCTCCAGCGTTGGAGAGGTGGTTTGCGCTGAGTCGGGTTTATGTGCCTTCGCATTATTGAAGGCCTATTGAAACCCACTCAGAATGAGAACCATACATGGCTTATGCGGTTAGAGACCGTCAGACGCTGGGAGTTAGTAGCATGCTGATTAACAAGCACCAGACAGCTAGAGCCAGCCAGAACTCCCCACCGTCTAAACATTAATTATAATTATTTAATTATTGACAAGCCATGGATTACGTTAATGATTAATATATTGCGCAACATTATGTGTATGTTGACGGTATTACATTAATTATGTACTTAATTGATTAATTAGTTGTCGCTTTATAAATTAGATACTCTATTATTTAATTGGAACTTAATCGTATGGTTTTGTTCGATTGCTTTTTTAAAAAAAAATTGGTATCAGGTCGTGACCCTAATTGCTGGGTAGTGGAGTCATTTAAGTAAAGGTGTCTCCTTTGTCAAGCCCCCCGTTGATATATAATGAATGAATGCCAGGACCATTGTGGTCGGGGACCTCGGTGACCGTGTGTTCCTTAAAATGATTCTTGGGCCACACCATGTTGTTGTTGCGAGGGATGTGAGAACTGCTATATAGCGATTAAAAACAAGCCCACCACTATGAGGACTTCAGTTTTGCTTGTCGTGAATAAAGGTCTGAGATTTAAAAGAGCCCATTTGATTGTGTGGCTATGGTTATCGTGAAACTATATATGGTAAGGGACTTCATAGTTGGTTATTCAGTCACGTTAACATGTCTTGAAGTCGTTATGCACTCCTGGAATATCGAATGCGTACTAGGCGTTAGACAGACAGTGGGAGTTCGTGTGTGAGCGAAAACGACCACCTGGACGTGAATGACAGGTAGCTCTACTATTATCGACTTGCTTGAGTGGGGTGAGGAAGAGGCATTCTAAATGAATCCTTAAGTATGACAAAGTGCAGGCGTTGAGTGGGCGGGCGATCGACAATGTGGCCTTTGGTGGACACGTATGAAAACGTGCGCGCTGGCAGAGTGTGGGTGCTAGCTTGAAGAATTAAATACCGATCGCCTATCGTCCTTAATGTTTAGTAGCCGTATATCAGACAAGATAGGGTTATTATCTCAAAGTTGTGATTCGTCGCTCGGCCGTTGGAGAATAGGGCTAACTAAGCTGTAAGGGCCACTGAGGCGATTGAGCCGTTCCAACACTGCAATCTTAGGAGTTTGAAGACCCTTGTGTGAAAATCACACGAAATATGCTTACGATCTCTACTGGTTTCATTAGGACTATCTTGAAATAGTTGCATTATGCTATCCCAGTATGTGCTAGAATTATCCAGAACCCAATGATAACAGTAGAATGTAGTTTTAGATTTGATGTCAAAACTGCCTTTAAAATTAAAAGACGTGTGTTCGAATAGAAAGTGTAGAACTTGCGAAAACCCAGGAGGTGTTCGTCGGGATACCTGGTGCTGTGTGAGTGTGTTGGAAATAAAATATACGATGAACAGAGAAGAGTTTACAACTAACTCGTTTGCCTCTCGCAAGGACAGGTGCGCTGACAAAGTTTGTAACCAGGTGTGTGGCTGATTGGAGAGAGTGGTGCACATCGTGAGAGTAGACACATCTTTTAAACAAGATTACCTATAATTGTCATATTGCCATTAATGTTGTGAGAGAGTTGTGGAATTAAATCATAGTACTTGAGAAAATTGCGCATGGTTACTACCCTTCAATGGGCTTTCGTCGTTTCAACAAGTGAGCTAAGCGAGTGGGAGTTGATATGAAAAATAGATTCAGTATAGTCTATTCCTGACATTCTTTCATCTATAAGGTATGTATACACTTCGCCGCTATCACTTCGTCGTGCTTTCTCACTTTTGAGTCTCTGTCATTCAGTGGATGAATTTGTATTGAGATAATTTTGATGATCGCACAACACTCGGTTTTTAAAATTTTCTTTTTAATAAAAATTAGACAAAAGCATAGCTTTATTAATGTAAGTACATAATCACAATAGACCTATCAGAGTTCTGATTACTGATTTATTAATTGATGTTATAATTTACTGAATATTACAATTGGAACATCTAAGTTAGATCTTAAATTTACATTCCCACTGTTCTGTAACCGGTCGGTAAATTGCCGCGATACGTTCCAGATAGTTGTCCTTGTTCAAGAATTTGTAGCGAGTCATCAATTCATCTTGATTGCTGATAGATTAAAAGTTAGACCATGTATTTTTTATACTCTCCCAGCCCTCTCAACACCTCCTATGATCAGAGCAAACCTAACACAGACTCCAACTGCTGAATCGTATTGTATTACCTCCGATCAGTAACCATGATATATAATTCACCCAAATATAATATACAAGCAGGGGCGTGTACAGGGGGGGGGGGGGGCGGTTCAGGGGTCCGGGACCCCACCCTCCTTCGTGCAGAAAAGCGCATCTATTTTCAAAAATTTTTAGGGGAATCTCGATTTCCCTTCGCGTGCTCCGGTTACGGTTAGACCCCCCCCCCCTGCTACAAATCCTGTACACGCCCTGAACAGTAAACTCAAAGTCACCAATAATTATGTAGCAGCATGCTACGATGAAGTTTCATAGCCACGTGGTACGAGAAGGTCCCAACGCGGAGCGCGAGCTAGAAATAGCCATGACATAAGCGCTATATGTCCGCGTGATCTAGGAATAGCCATTATACGTATGCGCTATAGAGTACCGAAGTGTGACGTCACGTTGGCAGGACAACGTACGGGCTGGCTTCTACACAAGCACTCGGCTCATGGTGTAGCCATAGGGTCAACTTTGTGCGTACTCGTAAAACACGAGTGTGTGCGCTGCAGACGCGGGTAAAGCATCGGTAGCAAGTCGTTCTTAACAATATTTAATGAATTAAAAAAAAATTAAGGAAAAAAAATTATTTTTTTGTTTAAATTTTTTTGGGCGTTCAAATTAATTTTTCTTCCCGTTTGCTTTTCACTTCCATCTTTGGAAATCTATAAAACGCAATAATGACTTCTCAGAATATGATGGTTACAATCTGGCGTACAAAACACGACACGCAGTATATGTTACCAGAGCATATGATTGTGTAGAACCAGCAGGCTCGTTGTTCAGCCACCGTGACGTCATCACTTCGGTACTCTATAGAGCACCGAAGTGATGACGTCCTGGGTGGCATGACAACGAACCCACTGGTTCTAAACAATCATATTGCTCTGGTAACATAACTGCTGCTGGTGAAAAGGTGTCGTGTTTTGTACCGAATGATTAACCATCATTCTGAGTCATTATTGCAGTTTTTATATGATTTTCCAAAGATGGAAGTGAAAGCAAAAAAAAAATAAATAAAAAAAATAATAATTAAAAAAATAAAATAAAATAATCATTAATTAATTAAATTTGTAAGATCGACTTGCTACCTCTGTCTGCAGCGCACACACTCGTGTTTTACGTACGCACAACATTTTCATGCAGTTAATGTTATGGAGCCAGTGGGTTGTTTAGAACCAGTGGGTTCGTTGTCCTGCCACCGTGACGTCACACTTCGGTACTTTATATGTAGAGATATATAGATAGTACGACCCGACGTTACGAGTGGCAGGACAGTTGAAAAGGGCGCAACCAATGACAAGCGGCCCTCCGAATACGTGGCATTATTTTATATTAAAAGATTCGTCAGCAGAGAACGGTCGGCGAGGATGCCTCGTCGCCATCTTGGCGCAAGCTAAAAGCGTCCACTCTCGGATTCCTAGTCCTCCATAGACACGTCACGCCTGCACTTGCGGTGGCTAAAAACGAGCTAACCCAGGTGACTCAGCGAAAAGGATTTAAGGTTTGGGATGTGACTCCGCAGACGCGCCCCATATTACCGTGTACACGAACCTAAGCAGCACGAATCTCGTGTGCGCGTTTCAGGGACTCCCTGCAGTAGTTACCATCGTAAAAAGTCATGTTTTTCGTGCGCTCCCGGACATTCATTTAGACCGTGTAGTGACTTTCTGATTTACTAGAATAAACCTAGAGTCCGTTCACCACACCTACTTGTTTGTATCTACTGTGTGCTACTGATCGTCTATTCGTTAACACGCACATCTCTCACGCAATCCCCGCCAATAACATTGATACCTGCCGCGCGGAACCTGGGAAGCCATACACACATCACAACGTACAATCACTATGCTAAACAAGACAACAGACGAACTCGCAATCACCCCGCCAAACACGATAACAGGACATTCCGCAATTTTCCCAACATGAACATGACAAGCAGTGTGACTAGCACATTTCCCGTGTTACGGAAAAACCTAGAGCACGACTTATTACTTATTACTTCACGAATATATTCCCCCGGTGAACACATGCAGTTGCGCAACTTTCATATTTTGCTGGGTAAACACCGTAAGGCGAAGACTTACAATCTCGCACAGCTAGCGACTCATTTGCGACTCGCTGCGGCACCGCATCCACCTCCTGCTGCGCCTGTGAAGTGAGAATATATCAGTGAGTCTACTCAAGAGATATGTCCACGGACGTATGATTACGCGTCTGCATTCTGCATGTGATTATACGACCTGCGACCAGGTTATCACAGTTAAACGCTGGGTTATCATGGTTGAATGAAGGTTATCATGGTTGAATGAAGGTTATCATGGTTGAATGAAGGTTATCATGGTTGAATGAAGGTTATCATGGTTGAATGAAGGTTATCATGGTTGAATGA